AGAGCTTTGTCTCTAAGCACTTTCCCTTAGTCGGCTTTCAACACAGAGGACACGGAGCTGGAAAAGATTCTGGAGGTGATTTTTCACCTTCCCGAGGCCCAGAGCCATGAAGTCCATCTGCTTCCCTTTGTGCTTTACCTGGACAAGCCCTGTCTGTCCAAGAGAAGTATTTGTATGTGTTTTGCCCAGTGGCAACTGTGACTACTGAGCACCTCCAGAGGCAGGCAAGAATAGCTTTGCAACCTGGGCTATGTACACGTCCATCTTCTACAGATGCACTTGACAACCTAGACCCTTCACCTGCATGTCCTATGTACACACACTCCTCTGAACAATGCATCCAGCAATCTGTTAAGCCCTTCTCCACTTGCGTCAAGCTACAGCACATTCCACTACAAACAATGGATTAGGTTTCTCTTCCCCTCGATGAATATCAAACATAACCAGAGTCTATTCAAACGCATTCTCAATATATCCCATAGGAGAGTAAGAGGCCCAATCTCTCTTGTGTACATGAATGTTAAGACAAGCTGCGTCCTCTGCATGAACTTTTAGTGTAAAACTGCTTACCGTCTTATATTGTGCTTAACTGGGAATACATATGATTACAATTAGATACATTATAGAAAAGAATATGCACAGTGAGCAAAGGTTTACATAGCATTAATCATAATAGCCCCCAGCACCACCATCAGTGTCAACTAAAAGACTGTCAGTTAAAACAGAACCACCCACACTATGCACAAATACTTTAAACTCTTCCTCCTTTTATTTAGTTTTACATGCATAAGTTTTTGTATATATATATATGTGTGTGTGTGTGTGTGTGTGTGTGTGTGTGTGTGTGTGCGCGCGCGCGCAACATATGTGTGCCTAGTGCCTAAAGAGGCCAGAAGAAGGTGTTGGATCTCCCGAACCCGGAGTTACTGATGGCTGGAGCCAACCATCTAGATGCTGGGAACTAAACCTGGATACTCTTCCAGAGTTCAATATGTGCTCTGAACTGCTGAGCTACTGTTTCAGTACCCCCTTCTTTCTCTTGAACCCCACCAAAGCTTACTCAGACAGTAGCTGAGGGCCTTGCTGTATAGGGACTATATATATTTAACCTCACTCATGTGGCCCCTGTCATTCTTGGCAGCACAGTTTCCTTCTGCTACAATCACTCAGCTTTTGAATAAAGTATCCTTGCTATTTTGCAGATCAGTATAAGCCCTTATTTTAGATCCTCAAATAAGAGGCCAATAGTCTGGAAAACCTAGACTAAACACTGATAACCAGCTAACAGTACAACTAACTGAGGAACTGAAAGTTTTACATACTTTAAAAGTAAATTTATTATTATTCTATTTTGAGACAGGGTCTCATGTATCCTAGGCTAGCCTCTGGCTATGTAGCTAAGGATGGCCTAGAATTTTTGCTCTTCTCAAGTGCAAAGATCACAGGCAAGCGCTTCTTTATCTCCTTTAGGCAGTGCTAGGGCTTTGTGCATCCTAGGCAGCCCTCCTCTAACTGGCCCTAACATCATTTAAATAACTACACGTGACTAGAGCATATCCCTATGCAGTACGCACGTGCTGTTCTGGACCTGAAATACCAAATCATCCTTCTGCATAAGGTGTTTCTTGTTTTTCTGAGATAGTTTCACATAGCCAGTCCTCCCGCCTCTACCTTGCACCGGCGTGCTCCATCATGCCTAGCTGTGTTGTGTCTCTAACCCTGGGCCGTGACACTTCATCTTACCCAGCTTTACAGCCATCTCTTCTTTGTTGTCTGATCCTCATTTACCTGAATTACAGACATCATTTATGTATTAGACCTGAGTGTTCCACACGTGAGCTGTCCACAAAATCAACTTACTGGCTTTATCAGCATTTTAGAAGCAATCATGTGCCATACTTAAGACACTTTGTTGTAACTTGCTGTGATTTGCCAATGTGGGCCCGGGGAGTGTATATATGTAGATGCCATAATATAGAAAGTATCTCTTACTATGGGCCAAAGTGAAAGCACAAAAATACAGAGTGTACTGTTCATCAGAGATTCAGTCCCTCAGGCCAAACGTGGAGAGAGTGAATGGACACAGCTCACTGTGGTGAACGGACACGGCTTCTCAGTGCAGTGAGTGGACACGCCTTCTCAGTGTGGCAACGCATCACTTGGATACATGACTTAAACAGGCAAGCAGGTGTGAGGTTTATCTGGATTGGCAAATGGAGAAGTTGGCTGTGCTGCACAGACCCAACAGTTCAGTGTGAAAAACTTCAAAAACATTACTTCTGTACACATCTGGTGCTGTTTGTCCTTCTGATCTATTGTCATCAAGGGTGGCATGTGTTTCCCCATCCTATACAAGAATATAAAATAGTGAACTTTTGCTCTTTTTGTTGCTGCTGCTTTAGAAGTGTTTCCTTTTATTTAAGTTCAAAAATTCTTTACTAAGTCTGCAGGAACTTCAAAGACTCGAGAACAGGATAAGGCATAGTATGTATACCTGCAAAGTATTTATCAGTCCCGGTGTTTATTGTCTCAGAGCTAGTTAACAAAGATTTCTCCTTTCAGATCTTGGTACCCCCTATAAGGATGGAAGCTGAGGAAGGACTGGGGATGGCAGACTTGCACGGCTGGTGCTGATTATGATTGTGTGTGTGTGTGTGTGTGTGTTTAAGCTTGAGGCCAGCCTGAGCTAGTTCCAGGACAGCCAGGGCCAGAATGTGAAATCTCATTTTTAAGAAAAACAAAACAAACAGAAAAGAGAAACAAGTGACCTAGAGACTCCCTTGACCAAGTAGCATTTCCAGGTAGCTTGGGCCTGTTTCCTGTCATAAGCTACTCTGAGAAGATACAGGCATACTTTCTTTCGCTTAAGTGCTTCATCCAAATGCCCAGCTGGAGGGAGTGGGCATCAACCTGGCTTATGGTAGTTCCTCTTCTTGGTTCCTCTTTTGGCTCTCAGCAAATATTTCTGAGACAGTGACGTTAGACCAGGACACATTACCACTGCTATACATTTTGCCTTGGGGAATGAGCAAGACAAGCAGCCTTGAACCATGGGGCAGAAGACCTATTGATCTCCTAATCTGTTCTACCCCATCAGGGTTACACTTAGGGCCTTAAGCATGCCAGACAAGCCCTCTACCATTAAAGCATAAACCCTGCCCCTGGTTAAGATTTCACTAGTAGCTCAGGCTGGTCTCAAACAGGAGATGCTCTAACTCTGCCTCCTAAGTGTCACAAACACTCTCATCCCTAATCTTTGCCTAGGTTAATCTTTGTTTCCTGGGTTGGAAGCAGAATTGTACCACCTTCCCCGGCCTTATTATGAGCTGCTAGGTCAAGTGCAGCTAGCTGGTAGATGAATTAGAAAATACCACCCTATCCTAACAGGCCAGGGAAAGCTCTTCTGGGGAGATTCGACAAGGGTTGCCCTAGTTGCTGAGAAGTTATACCTACACTGACCCTTGAGTCAAGACACTGGGTTACCATTCACTTTAAAAGCAGGAGCTGAGGGAGCTTAGGTCTAAAACCACAACCATAAAACAGTAAGTAGTAAGTCCTTTCTTGGAGTGATGGCCATAAAGGGGTTCTTACTCCTCTCACCCTCAATCACTGGTCGGTTCCTTTTTCAGAGATGGAAGAACATCGTTAGGGCTCCCGTGTTAGCAACAGAGAGGCACAGATGAGCATCATACTCCCATGTGGACCACAGATGGCTCCACAAAAAGAATCCTGAAACTCCAAACTTGTCTTCCCTCCCTGAGGAAGCTGACCTGATATAATAAGTCAAAGGGGCTGGACGTCAGTAGGTTTCTCTTCCTCTGAACACATCTACAGTTATTTCTCAAACCTGAAAACTCTTGGACTACCAAGCTGCCTGGCAGGCACCGAAGCTGACAGTCCCATCGAAGTCCCCAGGGGTTACCTCCACTTGCTCTGCTTGCAGGAACTTTTGGTCTTTTTCAGCAGATTTTTTTCCCCAATACCATGTCTCGGGTGTTTAGTTTTGTTTTAGACGAACAAACTCTGAAAGTGGCAGACAGCTGTCACATTTTCCACATGAAGAAATGGAGACTTCATGAAGAAATCCACTCGTCCGGAGTCCTCTGGTTTTCACGACCTCAGCAATGAGGAGCTTTGCCCAGTGACTCAAGACAAAACATACCAATAAGGCTCAGAGAGCTGGAAGGCGAGCCAGCTGGACTCCTCGCTCAGACGAACCTGGTTGGATTAGTAAACGCCTGCAGACTGCTGTTTCCCCATCTGTGAACTTTGGATTAGTGTAGAAATGGAGAGGGGAAGCTTTGAAAACTACACTCTATCATCTCGGGGGATGAGATACAACTCTGGAGTGAAAAAACAAGCAAGGAGAAGTGAAGATGTGTCTCTCAACCCTCTGGATCTCACACCTTTCTATAAAGAAGCAACGCTAGGCGGTGGACCTGACCAAGAACGTCTGTAACCTGTCCCAAGCCTGAGAGGCAGTCGCGTACCTGGGCAATGGGCTCCACTTAACTAACTCCAGGTTTATTATTCTTGGACACATCCAAATTCTGCAGAAAATTGCTAACCTCCTTCATAGCCCAAAGGCTGAATCAGAGATAGCCTCAGACTACAAGCTGGATAGCTCCTCAGGCAAAAGTCACTCAATGTCCTAGAAGCTTTGGGGTGATGTAGGGGAGAAAGTGAAGATTTTCAAGACATGGGAACAATTAAAAACAAAACAAACAAACAAACAAACAAACCAAAAACTAAACTGAGAGCAGCCCAGTGTAAGGAGTAAAGCGCAACTGAGAAGGTATACTCTTAACATCCCCACCTAACGGAAAACCGGTTCCAGCCAAAAGCTGTGGCCTCCAATCTTTAAGGTGTGGCCAGCACGTAGCCCAGATGTAATTTTGATATTTAGTGTTAAAGGCCAAGAGTAACTGAATATTAACTCTAGGTGAGATGAATGCATGTGGCGTCTCCTACCGTGCCTTTGGAGGGGTGGAGAGCATTACCTGAGTAAATCCAGGAAAGAGTCCACAGTCTCTTTGGAGACCGGAGGAGGCCCTGAGTTCTCTAGCCCCAGGCTGCTGGACTGAAGGGTCTGCGCGCCCGCCCCTGGCTTGATGATGAACGCCAAAGCAACGGCGAGCGCAGAGGCGCTCAGCGTGGTGAGGCCGAAGTAAGCAACCGCGATGCCACCCAGACGCCCGAGGGAGCTGGCGTCCAGGGAGGCGGCGCCCGACACCAGGCTGCAAACCACCAGCGGTAGGATGATCATGCGCAGCATGCGGAGCAGCATCTCGCCGGGGAAGGCCAGGTAAGTGACTTGAGTGCGGGTGAGCTGCAGCCCGCGCAGCGCCGCGCCCATGCCGGCGCCCACCAACACCCCCGACACGGTGAGCAGCACCAGCGCGTGGCGCCGAAAAAAGCTAGCACAGCGCTGCGCTTTGCCCGTCTCCGTCTCGGGCGTTCGGGGCCCGGCCACAGGCTCTGCCTGGGTGCCGTCGAGGTAGCCGTTGGTCTCGCCGCTCTTCTCCATGTCGCTGCCCGCCGCTCTAAGCGGCAACACGCGAGGAACTTGGACTTGGAGAAAAGACCGGTTTCGAATGAATGGATCAGGCGGAGACAGTGGCCTGTGCCAGCTGCGGCTCCCGAGCTCTTCGGGTCCCTACAGGAACAGTTTCCAGAAAGATAAAGAGAGACTTGGGTTGTGGGCTGGAGCCAAGGCAGAGCAGACCGCGCCGCGCCCAGCCTTCCTTCAGAGCTGCTGCTGGCTGGAGATGATGCAACGCAGGAGGCGCGCTGGAGGCTGCAGCTTAGGAAGGAGGGCGGGGCCGGAGCTCGACCCGCCCACGAAGGCCCGCCTCCGATGTTACGACCAATTAGAGCCTAGGAGCTCCGTTTTCCCCCACCACACCGACTTTCCCAGGCCCCGCCCTTCTCTCGTCCTCCCCGAGGCACAGCAAAGGGAGTGAGTGAGAGACAGGCAGGCGGGGCTCTCCCGAGACAGCGGGGCGTGAAGCCATCGGCCAATCCTGTCTCCTGGCAGCTTCCCGTGCTAGCTAACGGAAGCGGGCGGAGGGGCCTCTCCGTGCTGCTCACTGTCCAGGCCTCGGGGTGAGAGGGAGGGGAGCGTCTGGAACGCCTTGGCGGTTCTTCACCCTAGCTGGTGGAGGAGAGGGACCTTCGGAGATTGGTGTCCGTCCTCCACTAGGGAGCCCTGAACGGTCCAACCTCCGTCCTGCGGGAAATTCTTTCTTCTAAGGGCTCTGTAGGCTTTCGTGGTGCAGAGACAAAGGAGTGGGTGGATGGGGAAAGTCGTATTGCGTGCACGCACAGGACTCTAGGAGAGCTTTACCCTCAGATGACCGGGGAGTCCGGGTGACACTGCCCAGTGCCAAGGGTGAGCCACTGTATGCACTAGCTCGCTCTGGGGCGGGTCACTTTGGATTCTGGGCAGAAGCCTGGTGTGTGCAGGCTGAAGATGTAAAACTCTCCCAGAGAAGCAGAGCTCTGACGCCACCACTTTCGGTGGCGTGTCTGCCACGTAACCTCAGCTGAAACACACGGGATTTTAACCACCCCCTTCCGGAGCTCCAGATTTGGCACAGCAACAGTTCAGCCAAGTGTTTGAACAGTCTGAAAGACGGTTCAATGGATTTTTTTTTAAATGTCATTTGTTATCTTCTGTGGCCACAGCAGATAAAAGGGAAACCTTGGCAGTCATTTATTGTGTTGTTTATTTATTTATTTATTTTTCCCCATTCTGTTTTTGAAAAGAACTACCTCCCTAGACCTCCGAGAAAACCTTAATTAGGTGTAGCTGGGCTAAAGGGGAAAATAATGTGAAGTAAAGTAATTTTGAAGCATACCATAACAGAAACCTGTACAAATCACTATGCCCTGTCGAGAAACTGCAAAATGTTGTCCAGTTGTTGAGATAGCAGAGAGTTCCTTACATGAAGCTGCTCCTTCAACAGCTAGTTGAAGTAGGAGCTTATTGGTTGGAGGGAGGTGTGTGCATTAGACAGGACCTATACACACTTTTATCTTGTTTCCCAGAGCATGGTTTATCTCTCTGTGCAAGGATGACTGAGTCCTACAGACCCATGTTCCTAGTTTCCAGGTAGCTCTTCCTCCTTTTGCTTAAGCTGCTGCTTTTATGCAGAAGACTGAAGTCATGCTCCAGAAATGGGTTTCCAATTGCCCGCTTTATAGCTTCACCCAGACATCCTGCAGCATCTCAGCTCAGCATATTCAGAACTAGATTTGTGATTATCTCTCTCCAGCCTGCTCTGGTTTCTGTTACCGTTATCATTATGATCTGCCTTGGTGAACCTTCAAGTCTTCTTTTGTCTGATCTGTTGTTAAGTCCCATGACTCCTTTTGAAATGTCCTTTCTTTCCTCTACTTCCGCTAGATATACTGTTGACTACATACTAATGCTTGACAGATTCTTCCTATGTGGCCCAAGCAGGACTTGAACTCAGACTCTCCCCTGTCTCCATGTTGAGATTTGGTTTGTTGCTATGTATTGTAAATACTGGCTCTGGTTGCCTCAGGGACTAGGAGGTCCCCACATACATCAAAGTGATACTATACAACCTTGCCTCCCAAGTTATCCTTGATTGGTCAATAAAGATGCCTATAGTCTATAGCTGGGCAGAAGAGAGGTAGGTGAGATTTCAGTTCCTGGGCTTGGGGTCTGAGGCAGGACCATGAGAGGGAGGAGAGAAGGTGGAGAAAGGAGGAGAAGCCATGGGATAAGTGAATCATGAAAACATGGCCATGAAGGCTGGCCAGTTCAAGTAAGAGCAGCCTAGGTGGAGCATGGCAAATTATATCTAGGGGTTACTGACAGGGAAGTAGGCAACATACTTAGAGGGTTGACATCTGCCCAGCTCTAGTGCTTCAAAGGCTTATTATCAATATAACGTTGTGTGTCTTTTATCTGGGGGTTGAATGATCCAAGGCAGGGTGGAAACCCTCCAATTAAAGTTACTTACCACGACAGCTTTCTGATTGCAGGTATATGTCACTGCACCCTGTTTATTTCCAAACTTCTAAACCTAGTTGTTAAACAATTATTGTTTTGTGTATTTATTTTCTGGTGTCTATCCAGAGGAGGGCATTGGGTTTTCTGCTCTATCATTTTCTGCCTTACTCCTTTGCTATGGCTTCTCACTGAACCTGGAGTTCGACTGGTAAACAATAAGCCCAAGTGATCCTCGTGTTCCTGCACCATAGCACTGGGGTTATACAAGTGCTTGGCCACACTTAACTTTTTGAGCAAGTGATAGGACTGGAACTCTTACCCACAGAATCATCTTTCTAACCTCCTTATCTAGGCTTTTGAAATTTTGTTTTGTTTGTTTTAAAGCAGAGTTTCATGCATTTTGAATTGGTCTTGAACTCTCTATGTAACTACACTACAGATGGCCTTGAATTCCTAATCCTCCTGACTGTACCACACACATGATGGACTTGTGTGAGTGTGTGTGTTCCTGCACTCCCCACCAGACTAGGCTGAACCCAGGGCTTTGTGTATGCTCTGTCTGAATCTGAGGCCAGCAAGCTTCTGGTTATCCTCCTGCCTCTCTCCCTCTTAGAGCTGAAATTCCAGGAGAGAATTTCAGGCCTCCAGTTTGTTAGATACGGGGCTAGGATCTGAACCGTAGTCCTCATGATTACACAGCAACTGCTTTTAACTGCTGAACCATTTCTCCAGCCCCTCATCCCTCTCTGAGAGAGTCTTGCTATGGAGCCTAGACTAATGTCTAGAATAAAGAGAAAGACTAGGATGGCTATGACAGAAAGAGGAAGCTGAAAAGCAAGTGCTGATGAGGATGGGTGGAGAGGGGAACCTTGCACTTCGTTGGTGGGTATGCAGATTAGTATAGCATTACAGAAAATGCAAATTAGCATGGCAGGTCCTTAAAAATCAAAAGCCATTTCTTTGATCCAGGGATTATAGGGATAGTCAAAGGAAGTGAACTCAGCATCTTGAAAAGATATTGGTATTTAATGTTTTACATTTATTGGTTATGTGTGTGGGTACTTGAGTGCTATGACACTTCTGTGGATACCAAACAACTTGTGAAAGTCTGTTCTCTCCTTCCATCATGAGGATTCCAGGGAAGGATCTTGGATTGTCAGTGGCAGGTGCCTTTTCTCGCTGAACCATGTCACCAGCTGGACATCTGTGCTCCTAGTGACAACACCCAGAGATAGAACCTAATTAACTGTTCACCAGTGGATGCGTGGATAAAGGGGATCATTTCAAAAACTAAATCTATACAAACCTGAAGGACATTGTGTTAAGTGAAATAAGAAAAACAGACAAATATTGCGTGATCTCACTTCTATATGGAGTTGTTTTTTAAAAAGCATGATTCAGAGGCTAAGAATTTGGCCAGGATGGAGCAAGAGGCAGGATGAGACAGAAACAGGAGACTTGCCCCTGGTTTTAGGAAACAGCTAAAGTATGTCAGTCAAAGCTTTCTTTTTCTTCTTCGAGAAGACTGGTAAAGCAGAAGCATCGGAGAGATGAGCTAGCCGACAGGAATGTACGTATGGAATCTGATTTCTGGGATTTGTGTGGAGAATTTTTGAATTAGAGATTTCATTTAATGATATGTCAGATGCTTACAGAGATACTGAGATCAAATCACTCTGCAAGGCCCATGGAGTTATTGGAGGGAGGGGGAAGAATGAAAGCCAAGCACAGCGGCTCATGCCTGAAATCCCAGCATTCAGGAGTCTGAGGCAGGAGGGATGTTCAACAGCAGGCTGGACTAGATTCTAAGTTCAAGGCCAACTGGACTTACACAGTAAGTTCTGGTCTATCCTTCTCTACAGATGAGACCCTGTCTCAAAACCACAAGCCAAGCCAAAATCCAGAACAACAAAGCCAACACTGCCCCCCCCCATAATGGCTCAGATCTGTGAGCCCAGAGCTTGGGAGGCTAAGACAAGGGACTGAGGGTTTGAGGGCAACCTGGATATTGAGAATTCCAGGCTTGCCTGGCCTATGTGGGAAGGCCTTGCCTCCATCTCCCACCTACAGGGAGTGGTGGTGAAGAATGCTTCAGTGTTTGCCTAACATGCATATTCCTGAGGCTAGAGCAGCTGAGGCGTCTACAGCTCAACGGAGGATCGTCTCCTCCCCCTACACGCCATTATTGAATTAAGAAGTATGTATAAGGGTTGTGAGTTAACAACTTAGAATTAAGGTAAAGCTCCAGATAAGATTTAGGACTAGCTGTACAAAGCCTGTTAGTCAAGTCCTTCTTTCTAAGTACAAGGCTAGAGTAGAAAAGAAGAGAATTTCAATTTGAGAGAATCAAGGATCTTATTAGAATTTTGGCACAATAATTCACTGAAGTAGATTAAAGTCTAGTGGGTGAGATAGGCATGGATAACTTTAACAAGCTACAACCTGTGGTCCCCAGCTTGACTGCAGAATTTGAAAAGTACAGATTACAAATGAAGAAAGGCAGGTACAGTAGGCACACATGTATTCCCAGGACTTGGGAGTTGGAGGCAGGAGAATCAGGAGTTCAAGGCTAGCTGTAGCTACACTGCAAGCCTAAGGTGGCCAGACTAGGCTATATGAGATTCTGTTTAAAACAACATGAAAAACAAATGTCATCAATATTTGTATGATTCTGCGGTAGGACCCAACCATCTTCTCCCACCCCTTCCCTTCTCCCTCTTGCTCTAGCCACGCTTTGCTCCAGGCCCCCCGCTCGCTCATATGAGGGCAT